ATTTTGGCGATATACTATATATAATATTAATATCAAAATAATTACATTACCAAAAACATAAATTAAAAAATAAACACAGACAATTTTCACTTAGTTTGATAAAAACTTGCATTTATAGGATTACACTCAAATATTGAATCATCCACTAATTATCAAAATTACAGTTAGTAATAGACTTAAGCAATAAAAGACTCTCTCTTTTACTTGTCACTTAAATATTACAACAACTAAATGACTTAATTCAACGAGCACCACTCATCTTTAATTTTGCACGGTGAAATCCCTTTTATCATATAAAATAGAATTCAAGTAGCTTGGAAGACTAAATGACCTGATTTAGCGAGCACCACTCATCTAAAATTCCTTCTATCATATAAAAATAATCCAAGTAGCTTGGAGGTACTAGCTTTGCATGAACTTCGTAAGTGGGAATGAAAGAGTAGAAGAGGGATTTCCAAGCCTTAGAACATTATCAATCAGAGATATCCCAAAACTAAGAAGTATTTGCCAATGGGCATTGTCTTTTCCTTGCTTGGAGACTGGCTGTGATTGATTGTCAAGGCAATAATGCCTCCAATTTATTGTTGAGACACTACATGTAAAACTGACCTAACACACTTTAAGAGTCCAACTTGACTTAAAATGTTAACTTATTAAGTTTTGAGTCATTTTATGCATATAAGCTATTTCACATCTTCATCCATTTTCCATGTAAAAGAACACCCACATATACATTTCTCAACACAATTTGCCAACAATTTATGGTTCCATGCAATGGTGGGATGAATCCACCATTGAGTATGCTTTAGTTCCTTACTTCATTGCAACTGCTTGGTGAAGAAATTTCTAGTGTTTATATGAGTATATATATATATATATATATCAAATATGAATATAATTGTTTTTATTTTAATTTTTTTAAGTTTTTTTATTGGTATGAAATTATTTATTACTTCATGCAATCTCCACAATAAATTTGAGTTAAAAAGTGAATTTATATTAAAAAAATACTGTAGGAGAGAAAAAATTAATTTAAATTTTTGTAAGTGAAACTATTTTAGTAAAAAAATTTGAATTATGACTGGATTGGTAAATTAACGGTGTCGAAAAAGTTTGAGTTTCTTGATAATTTTTTACAATCAAAGTGCATTAATGGATAGAGAGTGTTTTACACTACTATTTTCTTTTTGGAACGTCATGCTTTATTAATGACAAAAGAAGGCATCAACGTCCCGCGAGCAGTCAAAAAACAAAAAAAACAATAGAGGCTAAAGAGTGGGCAATCATATTCCAACTTTAAATGGGCATCAATGGAATCAAAAATTGTAAAGTTATTATTGAAAACTCTAGCTTCAACTATAATTACCTTCAGAATGGGCAAACATAAATTGAATCCCAACCTATAGACTTTAGTTTTTGTAAGGTGTTAGATCTAGATTGTCTCGCTTACATGGAGAAGAAAGATAATAGGCTTCACATAGCAATCTTCCCTTGGCTAGCTTATGGCCATGTTAAGACATTCTTTGAGCTCTCCAAGTTCCTAGCTCAAAAGGGTCATAAAATCTCTTTCATTTCCACCCCAAAGAACCTCCAACGTCTCCCAAAACATCCTCACATAGACTTTGTTTCCTTTCCCTTACCTCACGTCGATGGCTTACCACAAGGCACTGAGTCAACCTCCGAGTTGCCGATTCACAAAGTCCCTTTCCTCAAAAAGGCCTACGACAAACTCGTTCCCTCTTTAACTCAGTTCCTCAAAGAATCAACCGACATCAAATGGATCGTCCATGACTTCCTCTGCCACTTGGTTCCACGAGCTGCGACTCAACTCGGTGTCAAATCGGTCTTCTTCACCATAAGCGCCGCCACTTCGCTGGCCTTTTTCGGGCCGCCCTCTGAGTTGCTCGGCGGTAGCCGCCAGCGACCGGAGAACTTCACCGTCGTCCCTGAATGGTTCGACTTCGAAAGCAACGTCGCTTTCCGATCAGTTTCTTACCGATTTCTCCACGACACCTTCATGGCGTGAGCGGAGATGAAAGATGAGGAACTTTGAGTCAGTGGTTGGATAGCAAGGAAGAGAACTCCATCCTTTACATCGCATTCGGTACGGAAGTGAGTCTGACTCAGGATTTGATGCACGAATTAGCTCATGGGATAGAGAAATCCGGATTGCCCTTTATTTGGGACATTAAAGAACGCCCACCTGTGGAAGGGCAATTGGGTTCGGAAATAATTCCACCCGGGTTTGAAACCCGAGTTGCGGGGCGAGGTTTGGTGTGGAGGGGTTGGGCCCCACAACTTAGTATACTGGCCCACTCTTCAGTGGACGGGTTCTTGACTCATTGCGGTTGGAGCTCCGTTATTGAGGCGCTTGGGTTTGGGAAGCCGTTGGTCTTGTTTGCCGGGGCAAGTGCGGATCTTGGGTTGATTTTGAGGTTGCTACATGGGAAGCGGGTCGGGTTGGAAGTGCCGAGGGAAAACACACTCACATATTAAGTATAAAATGAGAACCATGTGAAAATGACATCAACATAACAGAATACAGTAAAATATGATGGAAAGGAGAATCTATTACAAACGACAACACCGTATATAAAACGACTAAAATATAGAAAAGATATTAACCAGGAATAACTTTAAAGCGAAAAATGGTATGAACCGTAAAACGACAACATGTTAAAAAATGACATAAAATAGAAAAACAATATGAGCATAGAAAACAACATGAAGTGAATCAACGACAATGACAGAAAACGACATGAAAATAAGAAACAACAATAATTTAGAGAATAATCTTTGTGCCGAGACGGCAATAGTGAGCTAAAAGGGTCAATTTCCGAGTCTTGGACATTAATTAAAATGACATTAAATTATTTAATAATAAAAATGCCATTCTACCACCAAAATTCATTGAGGGCATGTAAGGGCGCTAAAGGGCAATAATAGTCGTTCAACACAAATTAAAAACGACAACGAACTTATCTATTGGTGAGTTGTACTATACAATTACTACAAAATGATTGCAAATTTCACCCACGGGTGTCTCAGCCAAAAAAATTTCCCCTACAGATGGTCTCATGGATATTACGTTCTACTTCTTCCATACTACCCTTTCTCCCATCAAACACTACTCATGTCACTAAAATAAAACAATTCTTTTTAAACTTGAAACTACTACTTTGCCTCCAACACAATTACACTGCTACCCCATTTTCTTTTTCTTTTTCTTTTTTTTTTTAATGTGCTACCCCCCCCCATTTTCACTCTTACAATAATAAATATCTATTAGAACTTTCCTGATGAAGGAATTTCGACAACAAACGTGGCTTAATTAGTATGCTGAAAAAGGGATCTCATGGTTATCAGTCTGTCCCCAAAGTGGAATGCAAGGTTGACCTTAAGGTTGCTGTTGACAGACCTATAAGAATATGGGTTGTTACACAGTATTAAATTTTAGTCACAACTATGAGTTCGCTTCTCATTTATAAACACAGTTCCTCTGTTAATTTCTAATAGGAACGTTTTTGAATTAGTTGTTAGATCTATTTATTTTAAGAGTTTTGTATGGTTCAAATAATAGTCTTTGATAATGTTATAATATTTTTCTTTCATAAAAAATTTAAATTTCAAAAGGTAGCTGTGTGAGAAATACCCAACGCAAAATAGAAAAAGAAAAAAAAGAGACATTGACAAAGTTCAACTCGAATTACAACGAAAACCTAATTCATTAAAATAAACTAACAAATAGGGGTTTATATAGCCCTACAAGCATAATAATAAAAGACTAATATACCCTTATTAATAAAGAGAAATATCTAAATAACCAATCCTAATATTAAAATGAAGATAAGTATTGTTAACATCCCCTCTTAAACTTGTTGGGGCTCTTTTAGTGAGGGCCTGTCGACGTGGTAGGTACGAAACTCGTGGCCTCGTTTGGTTCGCTATGACTGTGCACTCACCGACTGACGTGGTCGAAAAGCTGCTGAGGGTCCCTCCTGGCATCGACGGTGGCCGGGATGATGAGGTTGGCCCCGGCTGAGGTAAGCAAAACCCGGATGTCCTCGAGGAAGACAGTATCCGAGGGCGACACCCGTTGCGGCTTCAGCTCCGTGACGTTGAGGAATTTCTGATGGGGATCTCCCAGTGAGCGTATAGTGTGGGAGAAGAACGTGACCGGTTTATGGAGGAGGTTTCTAAGGAGTCATATTTCTCTGTTTGTGAATAAAATGATCCCGACAGACGTAGTGTGTGAAGGGAGTAAAACAGTCAATCTCGAGGTGTTGGGCTGTGGTTAAGGGTTTTTGGTGTTTCAGGAGCTTTTGATACTACTTCCAATGGGGAGAACACCTAGAAACTTGTTCTAGAGGGACTCCGCCGGAAGTTACGGAGAATATAATTCTCCGTCGGTCGCTCTGATAGAAACCAAAAAATCAGAGGAGTTAGAACATAATACCTTGATCTGCCTTCCCCTATTTTCCCGTGTCTCTTTGTTGTTGTCCTTTGAGAGGTTTGGGCCACGGTATTTATAGGCCAGGATCGTGGTAAAGAAAAATGAGGAAAGTTTCCCGCCAGTCGTCTGGGATTTTGGTTGAAATCCCCCCCAGAGGTCCCTATCGGTATGACATTCCCAGTGGGACTCAGGGACAGCTTTCGTTGATCCCAGAGGAAGGTTTACCCCAAAATGGAATGTAATAGGTTACTGGGAAGCCAAACGTGGCTGGGCAGCCAGACGTGCCTGGGCAGCCAGACGTGGCCGAACAGCCGGACATGCCTGGGCAGCCAAACGTGGCCGGACGGCCAGACGTGGCTCAGTGGCCATTTTAGGTGAAGTCAGGGAGTGGCAGAGATTGCTCTCCTCTCCTTCGTATGTATTCTGGCCTTTCTTGTGCTGCCTGGAAGGCAGAAGGGTTTGAACGTAAAAAGGGAAAAGAAAGACGTGGAGAAATGTTGCCGTGTGTCTCAGTTGCAAGGTAATGGACTAATAGGTTTTATTCTATCTAATTTCCTCCATAGCCCACATTATCCTAATTCCCTCATACACCCAGGACCACCCCAAGTGGGCCAAGGATCTAATTGGGCCGGATAAAATGGGTCCGGTCACATTCCTTGACCTGCCAAACCACGGCCCACATAG